GTTGTTTGGTTTTGTCTTTTAGAAAGTGACAAAAGGCCCATTTTCAATATCCTAAGTTGATGACCCGTTTTCCCAACACCATTGGTTGGAGAGTTTTTGTCTCCAGTGTGGGTCTTTTGGCTCCTTTGTCAAATATCCGTTGGCTACAGATCTGTGCTCTTATTAAAAAATTTCACTTTATGAACAAGATGCTTTCCTTTTCCTTTTTATTTGCAGGTTCCAGGGCCTGAATTTAGGGCCTAGCTACTGCCCCTGAGGTATTTTGTCCAAGTCTGGGTTTCTAACACTTTAGACACAGCTCCACTTCCAGCTTTATGGTGGTTAGAGATAAGAATCTCAAAGACTTTCCTAACAGAGCTGGCTTGCAACCGTGATCTTCAGATCTCAGACTCTTGAGTAGCTAGGGTTATAGGCATGTGACAGTGGTGCCTGGCTTTAAAAAAGATCTTAAATCAAATGTATTTGATGTATAGAAGTACATATGCTAGCTGAGGCCCCTTCATAAATGCTTACATCTACCCATCAGCCAGATCCCAGTGGGTCCTTCATTTTTAAGCACCCAGTAGTCCCAAAGTCTAATGAATGGGAATGCTAAGCTATTTCAACGTTTTCTGTATTCTATTGCCATGACACAGACCAAGATTAAAATACAAAAACAGTTGTCAATGGCTTGTGACTACAACCCTAACTACTAAGGAGGCTAAGATTGAGGGCTGTGGTTAGAAGCCAGCCCAAAAAGGAAAGTCCATGAAACTCTTATCTCTAACTACCAAAAAACCTGGAAGTTTAGCTGTGGCTTCCTTCAAACATTAGAGCACTAACCTTAAGCACGAAAGCTCAGGGCACAGAGCCCATGCCCAGAGCCCAAGCTCCAGGACGGGCACACACACAATAAAAGCCTACAGTTGGAACTGTTTGGCAATTAATGACTAAAAAGATGTTGGAAAATGGAAATACAAACACCTGAGACTATAAAAATCAGCATTTGTTAAACCTGAGCAGTGAACTGATTTTACAGAGAGGAAAAATCACAGATGTACCCATTGTGTTGCCCTAAATTATTTTATGAATAAATATAAAACTCATGTTTCACTCCCAGCTTATTGAACCATGTGATCAAATTTACAAAGCTTATTTCAAGATGAACAACAATTTTTGACAAATAATGTTCTGCTGAAAGCAAACTGACAATGCTAAGTTCATTACAAGAAACAGCCCTAGAGACTGTGTCTATACTTTGACTTGTTATCCTAGAGAAAAGCATGCCTATTTGTGTGATTATGCTCCAAAAATGCTGTTGAACATGTCAAGGCTTTTAGGACCCCTGTCAAATGCAGTCAGGCTTCACACTGAACCCAAATCTCTAACAGTGGATGGAGTTTCAAAAATGTTACCTGGTAACATACAATTACCTGCTCTCAACAGTATAAATTGTAAGGCAGTATTACTGAAAAGTCATGTGTGGTTGTGTATTATGCTTTTATCAAAATACTATGTTTTTAAAATGATATTGATGACACTCCATGCCAGACCTGTGAAGGAAACTCAAAACTGTCAGAACTACTCAGACATGTGAGTCTCTCCTTCCTTCTAGTCACTGCTGCCAGTGTTTTCAGAATGAGCAAGGGATGCTCTGCACATCACTTTACCTTCCTCAAGGATACAAAGTTCACATGAAAGCACCGACTGCACATCAGCTGATTAAAAATAACAGGAGGGTCTGGGGACTTAGCTCAGTGAAAGAGAACTTGCCTGGCAAGTGCAAGGATTTAAGTTCAGACCTCAGCTCTGAAAACTACAAAAACAATTAAACAACAACCACAACCACAAAATGTGAGTCTTACCTGATGTTGGTGGCTTATACCTGTAATCCTAGATTCTTAGGAGGTTGCAATCTGAGGATTGTGGTTCAAAGCCAGGCTGGGGAGGAAAATCAGTGAGAATCTTATCTCCAAAAAGCCAAAAGTGAAGACATACATGGCTCAACTAGAGTGCTAGCCTTAAGCACAAAAGCTCAGGGTCAGTAACCAGGCCCTAATTTCAAGCCCCAGATCCTGCACACACTAAAATATCTTACTCTAAGACTTATTTATAAACTATCATCACCTAAATTCCTGCCACAAACAAACCCAAAATGAACATCACAAGACACGTCTTTCTAACACCACTCTTAGAAGCCCCACAAGTGGCACAGCCAAGTCTACATACAAACATATAGATATTATGTGTATATATGTATATATACATGCATACATACATATAATTGAAGTAAAACAAAAGATCATTCAAACTATGGAATTCCAGATTAAGCAACCACTCAGGTCCCATAGAAGAGAATGCTAGTAAACCTAATTTTACTTTTGGCATTATTATTTTATATAGTTGTCTTTTAGAACAGATAGTCAAGGAATAGAATTTCTGCCTGGCATAGTGGAACATAGTGGAACGCTAGCATTCACGAGATGGCAGTAGCAGGCTCACAAGTTTGAGGCTAGCCTGGGACAAAGAGAACTCCAGGTCACCCTGGAACTGTCTGTCTCCAGAATAATGCTAACAACAAAGAAAAACAAGATTTCATAAAAAGCTCAGATTCTTTAAAAGAAGAAAAATGGAAGTAGAGATGCATCAGGTTTTGTAATTTATGGAAAGATGATCTTACACAGTTTCTTGCTCTACATCAAGCCTTACCCTACAGTATATCCTGCTCAGCAGACAACATGAAGGCCAACCCCCTATAAAACCAAACACATACCTATTCTTATTAGCAGAATTGAGATAGATTTATAGTATCATAAAATCATAGAGAAATGAGCAAGATACAGGAGAAACTTCTCTTGGAATTGCAACCCACATCTGCAAATGACTATAAAATAAGATGCAATACCAAAAAGCTAAAAGAACTCTGAAAGGTCTCAGGAAAGTATATAATATTTGGGAATTTAGAAAGCTTATTGAGACATGCAAAAATATGCTAGGCCATATACTTGTTAAGGCATCAGCAAGTAGGCAGACCTCTGTCACAAATCATTAACTAATATAAAATAAAAAAGATCTTTAAAAGCAGTTTCAAATCTTAATGCAACAGAGCAAACTATTTATAAAAAGTTATTACCTAGAAGCCGGGCACTGGTGGTTCAGGCCTGTAATCCTAGCTTCTCAGGAGGCTGAGATATAAGGATTGGTTCAAAGCCAGCCCAGGCAGGAAAGTCCATGAGACTCTTATCTCCAGTAAACCACTGAAAACTGGAAGTGGTGCTGTGGCTCAAGTATTAGAGAGCTAGCCTTCACCTAAAGAGCTGAGGGATAGCACCCATGCCCAGACTTCAAGCCCCACAACGATGACCACCACCACCACCAACAACAACGAAAAGTTATCACCTGGGTACTTACACCAAAAAAAAAAAAAAATTACAGCAGTAAATCAAAGCTCCAAATCAGTCTCTGCTTAGGAATATATAAGTATAAAGCATAATTCAACAATCACAATTCTGAATATAAACAAATAAAAGTATGTAGATTACCACTTCATCAAGGGTCTCAGAGGACACAAATTCAATCCTTACCTGGTGTCTTTACCTAATCCCCAGGTATGAGCTCCATATCCACGCATGCTGTCTTCATTACTAATAGCTCTAGTGAAATGAGGAGTATTCCTTTAACGTACAAGTGATGTTCTAGTCAATTTCTACATCAGAAAAAGTGGACCATAAAAGTTGTCCCAGGATCAGCCTTTTACAGAGAAATACCATATGATATGTATTTGGTTAAATATTCATACATAATTAACAGACTCATATATTACTGAAACTTATGTAAAAATAGCATTTATAAAGTGACTTACATTTTGTCATTCCCACTTTCAAATCTCTTTTCCTTCTGTGGACAAATGCATCAAAAGCTCTGTTCCTGGGACTGCCTCTGCCTCTGCTTAACATGCCCTCTCTTGGGCCTCCATGTCCTCTTAGTGGCCTGTCTCAATCAAACCTATCCACATGTCTAGGAAAAGATGGCAATGCAAAATTATAAGAGAACCCATGCCTCTGCCCGTGTTCTGCCACATCCAAGCTCCTGGATTGTGTGGTACACCACCAGGATCTGGTGGTGTAATTACCTGCCCGTTTTCCCTTCTGCCCATTCTCCTGCTTTCTGAGAACCTATTTTTTTCTATTAGACTATAATCCCCTAAAATGTAATTCAAAAGGACTACATCTTTTTAATCATTTTTTTGGGGGTCCGGTCTTGGGGCCTGAACTCTGGGCCTGGGCGATGTCCCTCAGCTCAGCTCAAGGCTAGCAATCTACCACTGGAGCCACAGCGCCACTTCTGGCTTTTTTCTTTTTGCTTATGTGGTGCTGAGGAATCGAACCCAGGGCCTCAGGCATGCAAGGCAAGCGCTTTACCACTGAGCCACCTTCCCAGCCCCCTTTTTAATCATTTTAACCCTTGTTTATTAACATTTCTTTAAGTTGTAAAGAATTTCCAAAACATTTGCCATAACAATAAATTTCTTATTTATAAGAGACTCTGCCCATGCGCCAGGGTCAGGAGGCTGAGATCTGGGGATCACAGTTCAAAGCCAGCCTAGACAGGAAAATCTATGAGACACTATCTCCAATGAACCACCAGAAAACTGGAAGTAGAGCTGTGGCTCAAAATGGTAGAGCACTACCCTTGAACAAAGAAGCTCACAGAGAAGGCCCAAACCCTGAGTTTAAGCCCCATGTCTGACCAAAACAAAAAGGGATCTTGAAATCAAGAGATCTGTTGCATTTATAGCTTCAATACTTGCACCAGTAATATTATACTACCATTTTCTCATGGCTAAGAAAAGATATCCTTTCCACAATAGAAAAACAAAAAAAAAAGGATCCCATTTACAATTTTCTTTTCTTGAGTTCCCTGTATATAATGGATATTAATCCTTTCTCTGGTATATTGCTGGTAAATATTTTTTTCCCAATTAGTTGACTGTCTTTCTAGTTTGGTTGCTATTACTTTATCTGTGCAGAAACTTTTTATTTTAAGGTAGTCCCATTTTTCTAGTCTCTCCAATTTGTTGTGACCCTGGGACACTGTTCAGGAAGTTCCAGCTTGTGCTTGTAAGTTCAAGTGTGTCTCCTACTGTGTTCTGCAGTAGTTTCAGAGATTCAGGTTTGATGTGAAGGTCTTCAGTCCATTTTGTGTTGATGCTAGTGCATGGAGACAGGTTGGGGTCCACTTTTAGTTTTCTGCATGTGGCCACCCAGTTTTCCTAGCACCAATAGTTCTTCCACTGTATGTCTTTGGCTTCTTTGTCAAATATCAGCTGACTATAGGTATGTGATTTTACTTCTGGATCTTCAAATGTATTCCAGTCATCTTCGGGTTTGTATTTGTGCCAATACTAAGCTGTCTTTGTTATTATGGCTCTGTATTTGAGCCTGAAATCTGGTATCGTGATCCGTCCTGTGTTGTTTCTTTTACTTATAATTGATTTGGTTATTCTAGGTCGTTTGTAAAACAGAAGTCTTAAAAAAAAGTCTACCCAAAACGTGAATAGCAAACACATATATGGAAAGTAACGTCAGTGAAAATAAGTCCTTCATTCATAGAAATCTAGATCAGATAACAACAAAACACCAAAATCTTCTCAAATACATTAATGATAGAAACCAAACCTAAAATCATCCCTGTGATCTGGTACCCTGTGATACCTTTTCCCCTTTCCCTTTTGTTGTTGTGGTTATTGTTTTGGGTTTTTTTTTTTTTTTTGAAACGTGGTCTTCCTAATCTAACCCAGGATATGAACTTGAAATTATCCTGCTTCAGCCTCATAATTACTAAGACAACACCAGGTTTTCTGCATTTTAAAACTTGATAAAAATTAAATAGTCTTGTACTCAAGAAGTTTAACATTTGACAAACTCAAACACATAAGGCAGAAAAATAATATATGAATCAAGAATCCTGAGCTGGGTGCCAGTGGCTCACATCTGTAATCCTAGCTCCTCAGGAGATGAGATCTGAGAATTGTGGTTCAAAACAAGCCTGCACAGGAAAGTTCGTGAGACCCTTATCTCCAGTTAACCACCAGAATATCAGAGGTGGTGTTGTTGCTCAATGTAGTAGAGTACTAGCCTTGAGGCGAAAAGTTCAGGGACAGCTGTACCCAGATCAATTTCAAGGCCCAAGACAAGAAATAAAAAGTGTGCCTTCCCTATGTATTTCTCACATGACCCATTGAGTGGATACCACTTCTGGTGCTCCTACCAAAAGCAAATGGCAGTGTTCCTCCAGGAAAAAAATCAGACAAACACAAACCATGGTGTGTGTTACAAAAACAACTGGTCTACACTCTATTCCAGATTAAAGAAGGTAGAAGACCTCATAAAATTTTAAGGCAATTAGATAATTTAAAGAATCAGGCAACAGTGCTATATCAATATTAATAATTGTGTCATAATTTTTGGCAAATACATAAAGTATTTAGGGATGAAGGAACACTCACATATCACACTTCCAAATGACAAAAGAGAAAAGTATGTATTTGGAAAAGGAGAGAATGATAAAGCAAATATGTTAACAAGTTGATATTTAGGGAATCCAGATGAAGTGTATAAGAGAATATTTTATATAATTCTTGCAATAATTTTATAAATCAAATTATTTTAAAAGAAAAATGGTCACTCCATTTTCTCATATCCCTGTATGCCTACCATTACATATGTTATTTCACTTCACAGATTTTCATATCAAAAATATCTATCTTTTTCAAGGCTACCATTCTTTTTTTTTTTTTTTTTTTTTTTTTTTGTCGGTCGTGGGGCTTGAACTCTGGGCCTGGGCGCTGTCCCTCAGCTCTTCAGCTCAAGGCGAGCGCTCTACCACTTGAGCTACAGCGCCACTTCCGGTTTTCTGGTGGTTTATTGGAGATAGGAGTCTTACGGTCTCTCCTGCCCGGGCTGGCTTTGAACCGCGATCCTCAGATCTCAGCCTCCTGAGTAGCTAGGATTACAGGCGTGAGCCACCAGCGCCCGGCCAAGGCTACCATTCTTATTATTAAAAAAAGAAAAGGTAGATGGGTGGTCTTGGGAGATAGGGAAATGATGAAAGGGGTGACAGTGATCAGGATGCATTTTATTCAAAAGCTGACATGTTCAATTTTACTCTTTAAAGTTCTGTACTTTTTAAAAATGATGGCATCAAGGGTTTTTGCCTTTGAACAAAAATTTCATTTTTTCCATAGAATAAAAGTCTGAATAGAGAAAAAACACATAAACATTTTAAAAAAGTAGTTCTGATCTAAGTGGCTTTTCATATATATAAGTGGCCACTACAGAGAAAAGTTGAAATAATCACCAAAAAATAAAAAAAATAAAGTGAGCGATTCCAGAACTTTCTCCAACCTTGTGGCAGATCCACCTGGTTGTGGATTGCTGTTTTATGTGTCCCTTCTAGTTAGTCATCATATGTACACCCCTTCAGATATGCTGTCTGTGCTTTATTTACTTAGTTCTAATTGACTCTAGCAGGGGTGAGGCACACTTGAGCCATGGGCCATATAAGACCTGAAAAATCATTTGGTACATGACAGGTTATAAATATCCAAATGGCCTTTGGCAGAAAAAGGCTCCTCACTCCAGCCTTACATAGCTATGTTCTTTGGCTTAGACACTGTTTAGGACAGGGTCCTAAATAAATTTGGTAGTCAGGAAGTCAAAACACTTTGAGAACCTTGACTCCCTGGACACAGATTTATCTTGCTAACAGGAGGCATAAGATAAATAATAGCTACCTTTGTAGAAGGTTCTGCTCTGATTCAGGAGACATGGTAGAATGCACCATCCTTATGCCATACTTCACACCAGCGAACTTTCCAGAGATTGGTATCATACATCATACTATACTTTTCTTCACATGTCTCATGATAGCCTACTTAGCTGATCATAGAATTAAGAATCTGTTTTAATCTAAGAGTCTGAATTCATGATGCTAAATCAAAACCCTAATTATACCCTATTCTAAAATTAGCTCCTTAGTCTAAAACTTCAAAGTAAATTTTTAAAGAATTCAATGCACTCATCTGTTTTGGTGGTGTTTTCCTGTACTCGGGCTGTATGATTGCTACAAAAGCACTTTACTTAAACAACACCTCCAGTCCCTTTCGATTATTTACTTTTTTATTTTTTTAGGGTGTCAGTATTGGTGCTTACACTCAGGACCTTGAGCTTTTACTTACCATTTTTTGTTCACAGCTGCTTCTCTATTAGGCCACATCTCTAGTCTGGCTAATTGGAAATAAAATATTATGGATTTTATTCCCTGGGCTGACTTCAAACTGTGATCCTCAGATCTTAGCCTTCGGGGTAGCTAGTATTACAGATGTGAGCCACTAACGTCCAGCTATTTCGTTATATTTGTATTTTTGCTTTTGCTTAGGCCAGCCTGGACCCCATATTTATGCTTCCCACATAGTTGACAAGCATGTACCACCACACCCAGCTTTTTTTTACTGTGTAAATACCGTACAGAGGGGTTACAATTACATGGGCAACGTAATGAGTACATTTCTTATCAAGCATTGTTGTCTCCTTCCTTGTTTCCCCTTGCCATCCATTCCCATCTCCCAACTTCCTTCAGGCCAAACTTGTAAAGTTCTTTTGTTGATATAACGACTTATACATCTCGTTGTTGCATTGGATCCAACTGTATCCCTATTTTAATGATTTGTTTTTTCCTTTTCCCTCCACAAATTATACCAACATCAAATACATGAAAGCAGGGGTTATACCGTGAGGGAGGGACATAAAAAGCGACAAAGAAATCATCTTATAAATATGTTAAAAACAATAGCAAGCAAGAAAAAAAACATTGGAATCCTTATCTTGGGGTTCATTTTGCCTAATATCACTTATCTGACATTTTCTGCTTGTCTCAGACATATACTAGTTATTGCACATAAGAGAAACCATGGGACCTATGTTTCTTTGGGCCTGGTTTACTTCACTTAATATAATTTTTTCCAAGTGGTGTCTTGCAAAACAACTAAGTTAACTGGTGTGAAACACTGCACTGAGTGCTTCTCATAGTTACAAGAAAATTATTTTTTTTTCCTTTACAGTGCTACTAGACATTAATCCTAGGGCATTGTACATTCTGAAGTGTTCTACCAATGCTCTACCAATAAAGTATCTTGAAGCCCACAGTTGATTTATTGTTTATTTATTTTTGTTGGTTATGAGGCTTGAGCTCTGGTCCTGGGTATTTTCCCTCAGCTGCTCAGCACAAGGCTAGAACTCTACCACTTCCTGTTTTCTGGTGGTTAATTGGAGATAAGCGCCTCAAGGACTTTTCTGCCCAGGCTGGCTTTGAACCACAATCCTCAGATCTCAGCCTCCTGAGTAGCTAGGTTTATAGGCTTGAGCCAACAGTGCCCACCTCCACAATTTAGTTTTAATTATACAACTGGTCCTGAATCTTGATATAAGGTAAGCTCTGAAATACATGAATATCTTTCAGGTGTCATCTCAGATAATAATGACTTGTTACATACACTAGCAAAATATTCCTAAGATCTGTAATATGGAAAGTTCACAAAAGCTTTTGGCTATTCTGAAAACTCCTTTGGCTCCCCAACCCTCCAAGTTGTGGACTGTGGTACATACTTTTCATCTGAAAACTTCTCGACTGTAAAGTCTGCCTGCCTCTCGGTCTCAGACAGTCGATATTCCCTGTAGGATTTCCATTCTCTCTATCAAGTATTACCTCTGTTCCGGGGCTGTCATTCCATCCTTGTTCCTCCCCTCTTCTCAGAGTCAAAGCAGAGGGCTAAAACACAACATCCATGACAGCACTGGTAAAATTCTGTAGGTTCCTTAATATTTCATTGTTCTACAAACCAATTGGAAAACTATTGGAAAAGCTTGAGAATTTCGGGAGCGGGGGGGAGGAGTTGCTGATGTTATTTCCTAGAATTTCTTTATTTTTAATAAAACTTTATGACTATTATGACTTCACTTATGTCTTAGAGAGTATAAGGTAAACCGTATAATTATAGGTATCTTTTTCTTTCTGTTTTTTGTTACTGTGTTTTGAAATAAGGTCGTTACATATGTTTGAGACTAGCCTAGAACTCATAACCTTTCTGTATCAAAACTCCTGAGTGTTGAGGCTGGGAAGTTGGCTCAATGGTAGAGCGCTTGCATTGCATGCATGAGGTCTTGGTTTCAATTCCTCAGCACCACATAAACAAAAAGAAAAAATCAGAAATGGCACTGTGGCTCA